ATTAAAATGGTACCATAATGTTTGCAAATTTAGTGGCATGTTAGCAGGTGTGGCTTGAATAAACGAGAATATATCGGATCAAACTGACAAAAATGTGTTAATATGAAACAATTTAATTGACGTTAAATTTATTGAACTACAGCGTTCGCTATTTGATAGATTTTTGATTGAACACAGATAAAGGACAAACTCAAATGAGATTCAGTCTATCGGTCATAATTTTGCATCATTAAAATGTAATAATATGGTGTGACGTTCTTATATGTATTTTAAACCGGTTTGTTATATGAAAGGCATTTTAAATAGCGAATTTTCACTCCGGTTACTGTAAATAAAACCTACCTGAAAATTGATTGCACATATTTGAATTTTTAAATATGAAAATTGAATTAAATTAAGGATACTGAATGTGCCCTAATTTCAAAACTTTGAATTGAATATTTTTAGAATAAAATTGAATTGAATTTAGAATAAACTTTGAATTGAATGTATTTAGAATAAAATTTATAAATCAATAATTTTGTAATTATTAATTACATTATTACGCAAAAAAACAATCTCGTAGTCTTTCGTAAATAATTAGGTCGTGTTTGGGACACAACCCTTAATTTGTGTTTCACGTTCAACTCATATTATATAAAGCATTGTTTCCAATTCGAAAATAAAAATAAAAAAAAAAAACTCACGGATCGAAAACTTCTTGGTTGATTTGGATTGGGTCGGTCGATCGTGGTCCTCTTCACTTGCAAACCAATAGACTCCGCGATATCTGGTTGCGACGTGGCAAGATGTAGATTGAAATTTCCCACATGCTCTTTTATAAACCCTTGGCTGGTACATACACCAACGAGACGAAGAATTTGGTTTCCAATCCATTTCACGTGAAATAGGGTAAATGTCGGCTTCGGCACCCATTGACTGTTTTCGGCAACCAAAATGTAAACGTTAATTTCACTATGTTTTACCATCAACCCACTTCCCTGAATGTATCCAAACAATTCTTTAGTCTTTCAGCTTCAATCTGATTATATTTGTAGGACCGAGCAATCCTGTTATGCCAGATTTTTATTCAAATGAAGCATACGTACTACAAAATGGGGCTGATTTCTAGTTGCCGATAATAGAACAGCTGGTTAACACGCAGTTCTAATGGGAAGGTTGCCGAAGAAAAAGTGGCTGACGACAATAGTCACACTCACCTGAGAAGTTTAGAGCGTTGTAAAAACGCTTTCAAACAGTTTTGAATAATTCTGTCGATTGGAATGGATAGAGAAGCAAGCAGCAGATGAATTGAAACAAACAGACACGTCATATATGTGCGTGACGCTGTGAAAATGCTAATAGAAGTGCGGACGCTGCTTAGATTGACGAGAATACGTAAATTCCCCTATTTCTTGGATTTTGATTGCTTTCTTTTCCTTATGTCCTAAATAGTTGTCAAATATTCATTTTAGCACTCCTCGGCTTTTGACGTAGGACTACGTCTTTGATTTCTATATGGGGGTACACTTTGTGAAAACCGAAAATGTAACATGTAACAAATTAAGAAAGATTTTGAACGTTAATAACTCAGCTGCCCCTGGTCCAATTTCAATAATTTTATCACCAATCGATCAGAAATATGGCTACGCATCGATAACAATGCTTCCGAATGTTGCTTTTTAACAAGAAACTATTGAAAAACTGGTAAATGTCCAGCATTGTCCAAAAGCGTTGAATTCACTAACAAATCCACCAATTACCTACATGCATATGCTGCTTCCCCAGCACAGTCGTAAGAGAGTAGTAATTAGACGAAACAAGTCGAAGTGGCATTCGAATCCGATCCTCGGGCGCGTGCGAATAGGGAGGATGGAATTGCGTAATATTTTGCACACTCATCGCCATACTCAGAACCACACGCTCCCAACGAACACACCACTGTGTGGTGATGTTCGGTCGTCGAAATTAGTAGCAGCAGTAGCAGCAGTAGCAGTGCTTTCGGCGTGTGGCGTTGGAAATTTTTCTCCAGTAACAACGAAAGGCTGCCTGCAAGCAGCGAGCTGCAGAGCCCACATAAGCAACCATCAAAGGAGGAAGAAGCTGCACAGCTATGCTATGGATCGGAATCAGTAGCTCTTCGTGAGTCGCTGCGGGTCGGTCATCTATGCCAAGCGTGTCACCCTCGCTCCAAACGACATACAGCTCGACAGTCTCATCCGTGTTGAACACCAAGCTCAGAATTACTCAACCATCACTACAAAACGGTCCTTTTCAGGGCCACCAAAAATTTGTTAAAGAGTATTATTTGGACATAGGTCAATGTCATCAGTTCCCGCAAGTGTGGAATTGTAGACCTGAATATATTGGTGCAATTAGTTTTTCCTCGGCTTTCATTCCGCACGATTCGTTTCTTTCGTTTAATCAATCACCCTTGTAGTGACGTCGAAAAGATTGTTTCTATCGGCGCTTACATATGAAATTTAATGTGGATTATAGAATTTTTTGTATGTTACCAAAATTTATGAATGGTTTGCCACTAAATGTTGAGATAATTTATTGATTATTGATTTATCACACTGTATACTATGAAAAAACAGCCTTTTTGTGAGTTTTTGCCTGTTTTCAAGTGAGGAGTTATCATAAAAAACAAATCGAAAGCTGTTATTTCCCGGCGACTTTACAAATAAATAAAATCAAACAAAATCATCATGCAGAACTAGCTAGGATTTGTTTTACTTCATATTTCACAAAATTGCTTTCGAGTGTAAAGACATCGACATCGTTTACATTTTTCCCTCTACCAACACATACATCAGTGCTAGATAGATCTCCACAGGATCTATAGAATCAACGCAATTTCAAAAAACCAAAATGCACAGCATTACGAAAAGAGGTCAGGTTTCGACCAATACCAGATAGATTTTAATTCTAAACAAGCCAAACGACTGGGAATTTATCTACCAATCTGCTAAAATGAACACTTAGTTAATTTTCAATAGGTCACTATTGAAAAATACCAAATGGCCAACTGTTACAATGGTGATCAAAAATTATCACCGAATGTCTGAAAACAGCGCATTCCCTAACACAGTCTTAAAAATCGAATTCGATGCGGTCCCACTGAACGGTGCTCATTCAATCACCGTAAGTGGTGGTGTACAGTCCACCAGCAGCAGTAGTAGCAGCAGCAGGAGTGCTTTTAACAACAACAACAACGAAAGGCTGCCTGCAAGCAGCGAGCTGCAGAGCTCATATGAGCAACCATAGAGAAGGAGGAAGAAGTCCCACCACTAGGCTAGGATCGGAACCAGCTCGTCGTGCTCAGCTCAGCATTACTCATCACTACAAAATGGTCCTTTTCAGGACCACCATAAATTTGTTAAGAGTATTATTTGGACATTTGTCAAGGTCATCAGTTCCCGCAAGCAGCTAGCTAAGGCTCGACCCGGTCTCTATTTAAGGTGTGGAATTGGGTTCTTAAATTTTGAAAAATATATCGGTTTTTCTATATAATCTGAAAGAGCTTCATTTTCTGAGCACAGCGATATTTTTTTCAATCCCACGCACTTTCATCTCGATTTTTAAATCATGATTTAAAGCAAAATAATAACTTCACTGTTTGACACTAAACTGACAAACTGACAGCTCGCTCCCATACAAAGTGACACCGAGGGGCGCTAATTAGGTGATTTTTGCAAATGTAATCGTACTTATTTAAAATAGTTCTAGTGTGCCAAAATTGATGAAATTTTGGGTTTGGGTTCCATTTTTAATGCAGATTACGAATATGCATTTACCTCAATACCCTTAAAGAACCCAATTGTAGGCCCGAATGTATTGGTGAGATTAATCATCGTCCGACAATTTTCCAGAACACGCTGGTAGGAAGTGTTAAAAATCCAAATAGAATTTGAGAGAAGTGGAAATAATTCGCTTTGGGTGTATATTCAGTCCCCAGAAAGCCAATAAAATCAAATTTGTGAGAAAATTAGCTCTCACGAGTTCAATCTCTCGAAGTCCCTCCTTTTTTACATATTCTACACAAACGATAACTTCCGCCCCGCCCCATTCATATAGTTCGGAATGAAATCCTGTGAGTGGTGAATTGAATACACTTTAATAACAAAATGCACAAAACTTAAAAATTCATAAATCACAAAAAAATCAAAATACACCTTTTAAAGTCGGGTAGATGAATCGAAAATACTCAAGTTGACAGTCCCTTGGATTCTCTTCATAAACTTTCTCTTTGAAATAAATACAACAAATTTGATATGCTTACAAATAAAAACCGGAAAGAGTTCAGATAATTGATGATTGATCAATTAAAAGAACTAAATGTTCACATTTGTTCCGTCCACTAGCGGTCCTACGTCAAGCTTCCGTTCGTGCCCCTAGGCACAGACCCTTCTACTTTTTTTTTTTAATTGTAAAAAGGATTACCAGCCACTAAATAGCCAATAAAATTTTAGATTAAATAAGTATTCATATCACCCAAGAACCAAGTCGAAACGACTCATGTAAGCGTTCATACGAAAAACGCTTCGTTTCAACTTCTCCAATGAGGCCACTGTTTATAAACAGGCAAAGATAACTAGATTCATTGAAATTATATCAGCATAGGGAGCAATGCAGAGTTGAATCCCACGATTCAATAAAACTGTTTCATGCGTCAGTCCAGACCAAAAGGAGCAATTGAAATCAATCTCAACCATTAAGTTTTGAATCTTAGCAGATCTTAGAGTGAGATTTTTTTAAATACTGCTCTGTACTTATTTGAGAAAAATATCAAAACGTTTTGCCCGTTGAGTAACACACTTTCATTTGACCATGCGTTCTGTTTTCCCTTTTGATAGTTTCACGCCACTAAAATGCATGCTTGTGCGCTAGCGTTTTCATGGCAACCAACTCAATATACATTCAAACTCCCATGACTATCTAAATATAACCCGCAGTAAGAACAGTTTGCTATGTTCTACATAACGTAGATAGTGCTTTCTACTGCTAATAGTCTTTAGATTATACAAAAACCACCGAGAAATTAGTACAACGCTTAAATTTAAACAAATTCCTGCAACATGAGTGAACTAAATTCGATTAATTCGATGGAACCGGACACCAATGAAACAATTCAGGATATAGCTATGAAATTGGTCACCGAGCAAATGAAAAACGAATCCAACCTAACTGGAGGACCCAGCGAGCGGACTATTTTTGTCCTTGGCAGTAAAGGGGCGGTAAGCATTCAATTGGGTCAAATCAATACATTTTTCGAATAATGCATATTTGCAGGGTAAATCAACGCTCATCAACCGATTCCTGGATCGGGACGATATAACCCGCCCCACGCTGGCATTGGAATACTCGTTCGGGCGTCGGACTGCATCCGGACAGGGTGCTCAGAAAAATATCTGCAACGTTTGGGAACTGGGCAGTTTGGTCAACTCAAACCAACTGATTGAAGTTCCAATACGATCCCACGGCCTGGCGACATTTGCTGCCATAATTGTACTCGATTTGTCCCTCCCGGATCAACTATGGACGGACTTGGAGTGCGTTTTGAATGGATTGAAGCAAGCTATCAGCAAAAATTGCACGACTAAAGAGGTCTCGGACATGCAGCAGACGATGAAACAGAAAGTAGGAATTGATCACGTGGATCTGAACACACTTGAGATACTTCCATTTCCGGTGATTCTGGTCGGTGGTAAATATGATGAATTTCAAAATATGGACTCGGAAATCAAGAAACTTGTGTGTAGACACCTGAGATCAATTGCTCATGCGATTGGGGCTGCGTTAATTTTCTACACATCCAGAAATGGCTCTCTGGCGAAGATAATTCGTGATGCGATGAACCATTTGGGATTCGGTAGTCCATCGAACCCATTCAAAGCAACTGCGATGGATCACAATGGGCCAATTGTGATTCCTTTCGGGGGAGACTCTTGGGAGAAGATCGGAGTGACGCCTACCAACTCTGAACACATTGGGATGAGCTACAGCTCCCAAATTCCGCAAGTTGACACCGAGAATGTAGCTGTTCCGGATGATCCTGCAAAAGATGCTGGTTTTAAGGAACGTGCAATTGACGAACTCAGAGCACAGAAGGACGAGGAATTGATGAGACTGCTCAAGGATACAGAGATTCGGATGAAGTTTGAGACTGTGCAGTAGATGGGTATGTGGCATTATAGCTACTTATGAAGATACGATAAAAGTGTGACGAAGATTGATAGTGGAAAAAAATCATGGGGAATTCCATAGAAGCTAATTTACTCAAATCTTTACAATAATATAGTCGGGCCTCCCTTAGCTCAATCCGTAAAAATAAAACTATACAACTATACGCAAAAAATCTGGTTGACGTTTAATCTGACGAAAAATAAATCACAAACAGTGCTGATTGTTCGCAACATTTTCTCTTGGCGGGACTCTTATTATAAAATCGACCAGGGGCCTGACTGGCGGCCATGTTGTTGATGCTATCATGCTGTGGCTAAACCGCCTTTTGCAAAATGAAGCGTCCAAACGATTGGACGGAACGTCTCAAAATAGAGATGAACTAGCCTAAGGCTAAAAATCTCTTTAATGAAGCTTTAAAAAAAAAAAGCTTCTCGAAATTTGGACCATTTACCCTATTTATCTATCAATGTATTAATATACACACTTAGAAACTATCGTCGACTTCGGTAATTTTTACCGCTGAACTGTTCGGTTAAATTTATGCAATTCAATTCAATTGCTTTTGAGCTACTTTGAAACTAAATCTCCACTAAAATGACAAGATTTGATCATTTAAACAAGGTTGAACATGTTTTGAAATTATTTTCAAGTTCAATAGCCTTTAAAATCAAGGTCAAAGTTTTACCGAACGTTCAGGTGTTCTGATTTCGGTAAAATTTACCGAACACGAAAACAAAATCTTAGTGTGTAGCAGTACTGGCATGGTAAATTCTCGCGTCATTTTTCAAATAGACCAATGTAACATATCCACCATTTTGAGAAAATCGAAGTTGAAGTTCGCCAGATTATTATTTTAACTGTTCATGCTAAACATGCTGCACAACATAGAAAAAACCACATTGGACGTTTTGACAAGTCGAGTTGTACATCAGACATGTTACATTGGACGATTTTTCTCAATGACATAATCAATGAGTGTTACATTGGACGTTTTGTCTACATACTAGATCCCCTTTCACAGATTTCAGAGTATAGTACCTAACTTTAGATTGGCCCCGCCTTTGGAAAATGAGCACCAATCATGTTAGGCAGTCTGAATGACCGAAGTAACAATCATATACCCATCATTTCAAACTGTACATTGGACAATTTTTGATCACTGATTATCTTAAATAAATGAAAGTAAATTTGGATGGATGTTTTTGTATCACATACAATGATAGAAGAGCAATAGTTCGTATGGCTTAACTCGATTTGTTTACATTTGTTACATTAGTCTATTTGAAAAGTGACGCGAGAATTTAGAGCTGGTTACTCACTGGTTAATGTGTGCGCCCATCCATGCACTCACTTTAAGGAGTACCCATAAAAGTGTTTAATTTAGGAATACTAAAAATAGTTCTCTTTTATTAAAACTAGGGTACGGGTAAAACTTGCCAGCCATCAGCTAGAAATACAATTTAAAAATTCTTAGTTTTCAGGTATTGGGTTTTCAGGATGGATCAAATCGATACGATGTTTTATGTCCGACGTTTCAGTCTTTGGTCTCGGCCTTCTTCAGGGGATATAAACTTGGTCCGTCTTTCGTTCAGCGCAAAAAGCTTTGCGATCTGAAACTAAAGCTAGCCCTGATGAACTGTAATCAGTACATTTCTTGAAAACTACAAAACTACTAATTCTTCAAGATCTTTAAACTTCACCTAGTCTAGACTATTCTGCAGTTTCCGGTGCTTCACTGAACTTATTGGAGGGTCTCCCTCAGTTGGTAAAAGCGCAGCTATAAAGCAAGACCATGCTGGAGGCGGGTGGGTTCAATTCCCGGTTCGGACTAGGAATTATTCGGATTGAAAAAAAATTCTCGACTTCCTTGGGCATAGAGTATGAACACAGACACAGCAGACATAACTCTTAAAATAAAATTCTTCGAAAAATATCGTCAAACGTACACGCAAAACAAAAATCTATTACAACGAATGCTAGTTCCGTTTCCTATCATCCTCTGTTCATGAACATCGCAACGAATATTAGGAATTGACCATGCAGGCGATGTAATGGTTTTTTGTCTTTTTTATTTCGTGTTCTATCTACGATCTTTACTAAACCAGTAAGCTTGTAGAACGACGCACATTGTAGAACATTGTAGAACGCAGCACACACTTGCCTCGAAACTCTCCAGCAGAAAAAGCATACGAAGTCGAGTATGCGAGAAAATAAGCGCTTCATGTTTGCTTTTAGGCTATCTATATTCAGGAGCATGGAGAGAGCAGTGGAGAAAGCACAGGTCTGATATTCGTAACGTTCGTGGTTCGAGTCCAGCCGGCAGTCTGTTTCCATTTTTTTTTTTCGACATAACTAATTTACCTCACTAATACACTCTACATTTTCCGGTCTCCAATTTTCTTGCATTGGACCGCAGCTAGGTATATCGCATCCTCGGTTCATGCGGTCTCCACTAACATCCTCTGATGATGAATCCCACATAATTGTAAGCGAATCTTACATCCCCCGGTTGGGTGTACTTTTTATGCACACTAGCACTGTGTTGAGCACCAGATGCAAGTCAGTGATGCCGGTTCTACCAAATTTTGTGTAGATCTATTGACAAATCCAAGTTTCAATGGACCACCGTGACGCTGCAATCGCAGCGGTGATAAGTCCGAAATAATGTGTCAAACTGAATACATTTTTGAAATTTCAACCAAAAAACTCTTATTTTCTAAAAATAATGGAAAAAACAATAGATGAACACATAAAGTCATCATATCTAGATACAAATCCTCTGAGCAAATATCAGTTTGCATACCAGGAAGGTAAGTCATCAGTAACAGCACTCCATACGGTTGTTACAAAACTAGAAAGATATTTTGAAGCAAAAGAAATTTCACTTGCTGCATTCCTTGACATTGAAGGTGCATTCGATAATTCATCTCACGATTCAAAGACTGCAGCTATGATGAAACGTGGTTTCGATCAAAGCATTGTAAATTGGATCAATGAAATGTTTTTTTTCCTTTGGTTTGTTTTTTCCGTCGTTCTTGTTTTCCGTGCTGAGCACCAATGCTACCGACGTGCCAGGAAGGCAGCTCCCACACCTGGACCCTACCTATCGACCCATCAACTCATGAACCGGGGACCAACGGCTTTACTTCCCATCCGAAGGAAGGCGTGATCAGAGATGTTATGCCTCAGAACATCCCGGCGGCGCCGACTGGGATTGAACCCAGGCCTGCTGGGGTGAGAGGTAATCACGCTTACCACTACACCACTGGCGCCGTTTTAATGAAATATTATCAAAAGGTGAAATATCACCAAACCTTGGAAGCTCACTCATCAGTGTAAGAGCAACCAAAGGATGGCGTGTTATCACCTCTATTGTGGTCTTTAATAGTTGATGATCTTCTCAAAAATTGAATAGCCCAAGGCTTCGAAATAATTGGCTTCGCTGATGATATAATCATAATTGCACGTGGCAAATATGATTGTATTATCGCTAACAGAATGCAAATTGCTTTAAATTTTGTCTCATCGTGGTGTGATAAGGAAGGATTAAACATAAATCCTTCTAAAACTACTATTGTGCCATTTACGCGAAGAAAGAAATTTTCATTAGACAACATAAGATTGAAAGGCACACTTTTGGAACTTTCTAATGCTGTCAAATATCTTGGAGTAATCCTTGATAGTAAACTTAATTGGAATATGCATCTAGAGCAGGCAATAAACAAAGCTACTTATGATCCACGGATATGCACAAGAACATTCGGTAAACAGTGGGGACTGAAACAAAAATGATCCATTGGATTTACTCGGCAATTGTGAAACCCAGGATTACTTATGGTGCATTGGTTTGGTGGCCAAAAACAAAAGAGAGTAATGCTCAAAGAAAGCATGAGCATGATTGACCGCCCACGGTTGCTACTCTGTTATTGCCAGACCAGCTGTAATTACACAGAGAATCAATAGACGCTGCTTGGGACTAGCAATCATCCTCAATGTGTAAAAACTGGTGATCTCAAACTAGGCAATACCAGCGCCGGCCGCGCCCGAACACAGGTCAAGAAAAGAAGGGGTAGGAATGTGTTGACGTGACACTCGCTTTGATGGAAGCCGAGAACACCTCTGCACTTCCACAAGGAATCACTGGGATATTGGGTAATAGGGTTGGGTTTGCAGCAGGGTTCGTTTTGGTAAACGATAAGCTGAATTGATGTCCTAACCATCATATAACGCGAAGGAGCTTGGGATTGAACCCACGGTCTTCTGCTCAGTAAGCAAAAACGTTTGCCAATAGGCTGACGAGCTCCTTTTTAATCATCGAGTTGCTGTTATTACCATGTAGTCATGTTAACAAATAAAACGATTGAAGAATCTTGAATGTGGATGGGCTTGAGATTAGACTCATGATGTTCTGCTCAGTAAGCAAAACCGGTTGTTCTAGAGTAGAGCCACCGAGCCCCTCATATCACATTATAGCGTTACTCAAGTTTTTATAACTATTCAAGCCCGGCACCGACGACACCGAAAAGTTTTACAAAATACACGGTAAACAAGCGATCTTACCATACATTTTTAATATGAAAGGACTTGGGACCGATTTTTTCTGCTCAGTAAGCAAGCCACTGCAACCGACGATCTTTGAAATCCTAAAACTAAAAGCTACGAAAGAGTACTTAGGCCTTCATTAAGATCCACTTTCACGTGACGTTCAATTTTTCGATTTTCTCTTTACGCATGGTTCAGGCAATCATAACAAGCTATGACCGACGTGACGATCGTTCAAGACCTGGTTAAACAAGCTATTCAAATGAAATTACGTTCTCGAATTTCACTTGGCATGTAATGAACAACAGAAATACGCGATGATCCATATTTTCAGCGGTTGATGGTTAATTGTAAATATACTAACGGTACTGCCTACGACTCCGACGGCGATTACGACAGCGACTACGACGGCGCCTATGACTGAATTTGCGACAGCGAATTTGTAACTT